GTGTATGACTGATAGACAACAACTTTTTGACTGAAAAATGTCAAAAATGAAAATACTGTGGAAACAAAGACACCTACATCTTGGATGCCCTTGAGGTAAGCTAAAACATGTAATCTTACAAATGTAATGTAATTATTGTAATAAGATATTCTTTTACTAATTGAAATGTCAAATATTAATAACAGTTATAAATTATATCTGAGTATGTTTTTTATTATTTTTTCCCCACCTCTCTAGTATTTATCTGGAGCACACTGATGATGTTTTGAAGGCGGTGGAGGAAATAGCAGGAGAGGGTGTTCCAGAGCTGATGAATGCTGCTAAAGACGCTAACTCGCGCAGTTGGCCAACGCTCAACAGGTACGGCAGCTTCAAAAAAAAAAGTAGCTGTGTAATTGTGAGCGATGAATACAAAACATAAGTATATAAATGATTGATTCAAATATAGTATATGACCACTTAATGTTAGACCAATCATAATCTGGTATTTCATAGAGACGTGTAATAAATGCAAATTTATGCTTTGTTTGGTGACGCTGCAGGCTGACGTTCCTGGTGTACTACAAGAGCATGATGGCAGAGCTAGAGAGAGCTGTGCGCAAGATTCCTCCCAGCAAACAGACAGATAATCAAGAGGTGTGTGTTTTTGTGTGGATGTAGATATTATTTTTATATACAGTATGTGATGCAATCTGGGAAAACCCACCACATGTTCAAATTTGACATATTACAGGTTTTGAGACCATATTAAAGGGATAGTTCACTTTGAAATTCATTTTTGATATGTTTTATCTTACCTCAAGGGCATCCAAGATGTAGGTGTCTTTGTTTCCACAGCATTTTCAATTTTGACATTTGTCGGTCAAACCGTTGTTGTCTGTCAGTCATATAATGCAGGTTTAGGGGGTCCACCTCAAAGAACATGCACAGAGAAGTCAAAATTAAACATGATTTAATAACTCGTAAATGTAAGTACACACTGATGGCCTAAGACACGAAACGAGCGGTTTGTGTGAGAAAACAAACAGTATTTATATCGTTTTTTACCTCTTGTTAACAGCTATGTCGAACTGATCTGAATCAGATGTCCAACTGAACTGAACTAAACCGTGTCCAACGTTACGCCGGAAGTGATCTCTCGCGCATCTACGTCACGCATTGTTTACATGGAGATTTCGGAAGTTTTACCTTTCACTAAACATGTTTATATATACGGGAAATCGCAATGGATGACGATTTCGATATATCTAAATAGTGAAAGGTAAAACTTCCGGAAATCTCCGTGTAAACAATGCGTGACGTAGACGCGCGAGAGATCACTTCCGGCGTAACGTTGGACACGGTTCAGTTCGGTTCAGTTGGACATCTGATTGTATTGGCCGGTTCCTGCGTCTGCGATTCCAGTCTTACTTCCTGTTTGTAACAATTTGCACAATGCCAGCCTATGGTCTTAATTGGCTGCCTGCGAACAACGTCTACTTTGACTCACTCTTAAACACTGTAGTTGTAGCTGAGGCCTGGAAGTTTGGTTTGTGTTGTTGAAATGTCAAGAACACGCAGTTTTCTGCTCTGCGAAGCAAATCCACTTTGCATGCACTTCCAAAAGACGGGGACCCACGCACAAATAGATACATTAAAACCAATGCCATCGTTACTGTTTGTATCACTCTGTATACAAGTGCTGAGGAAGCGTCTGGAGTTGAAATTCTAAAAGTTCCGTTTCCAACACATGCTGTAAGCAGTAGACCAATCACAACAGACTGGACCATCTGGCCATTCAGAGTAGAGTAGGCTCTCAGAAAGGAGGGGTTTAAAAAGACAGAATCTTTGATCGAACTCTTTCAAAGCGGTGATGTTGCAATGTATATTATGAGGAAAAACTTTGCATGGAAATCAATTGTAGGAGGCCTCCAAAACAAAAATAGGAAACTTTAAAATAGCATAATAGGGGTATTATAACAAGTAGAGCAAGAGTCTCTCTCAAGCTAATGCCCTAAATCTATTCAGGTGCAGAGCGAGAAGCTTTTAACATGGAATCTGGCTGTGCGTGACTTCCACATCCTCATAAACCTGGTCAAGGTACAGAGACGTTCACATCTTTCTTGTGCTCACAGTGCGCACCCTTCACATTTATGGCCATGTAAAAAGCCTCTGCTACATACTTTTTTTTTGTTTTGCTCCAGATTTTTGACAGCAGACCTGTACTCACTGTGTGTTTAAAGGTGAGAAATATTTGCACACACAAATGTTGTTTATGACGATAATGTCATTCATCACCGCATTCTTTTCACTTTGTCTTTCAGTACGGTCGTCTTTTCCTTGAGTCATTCCTTAAGCTTGGAATGCCTCTGCTTGACTACAGTTTTAAAAAACACAAGGTATTTCTGTCTCATTCGTTTAAACGTATGCATAATGTTGCATCTTGCTCAGAATCAAGAGCTTTTAAACTCAGAAATAATCAGTTTAATAAAGTGAGATTTTGAATCATTGCCCTGATGGATCTTCTCAGGAGGACGTTCAGAGTCTACTGAAGACCTTCCAGCTCAGTACTAGACAACTCCACCACATGTGTGGCTACTCAAAGGTGAACAGCTGCATTTTCTGTGCATGGTGGTCAGTGGAGCTAGACTGGGATTAAAGATGAAAACAAAAAAAATTTCATTTGAAGCTGTTAAAGCATATGGCATCTGTAATTATAATCACTGCTTTACTGTTCTCAGATTAGGCAAGATACTGGTCTGACCAATCACGTTCCTGCATTGAAAAAATGTCTGGAGCAGTTTGTGTATCGCGTGAAAGCCATGCTCACTCTTAACAACTGCCAGGAAGCCTTCTGGCTAGGAAACCTGAAGAACAGAGACTTAAAGGTGAGATTTTAAATTACGGTGAAAAGAGAAAAGGCACATCATGGCTTAAAGTCACCATACATCAAAATGGACAATTCCTTTTTTATGGAATATTGCCGTTTTTATTATAAATGATTTATTCCTGCAAATCATTGTTTTATTTTTTTATTCATGTGCCCTCGTAATCTTTAATCAAAATAACTTCTACTCCCTCTTGTAATAACTTCTCTTCTCTGATGATGTTTACTGGCACGAGGACAACCTGTCACTCACATGAGATCGCAGCAATCAATTCCAATTGTACAAAATCAAGTCCCGCCCTACATTTTTTTTCTTGTTATACAGATGAAAAAAGTATCCAAATCCTAGTGATGCTGAATTTTAACTAAAAGGATTTTTTTTCTACACCTTGTTAACATAAGGGCTTTTTGCACCGTTTTTAACCCTGGGTTAATGTTGTTCTAAACCCCACCTTTTAACCCCGGGTTTCACACTTGTAATTTAGATATGGGGTTAACACCTCTTTTTAGCGGAAAAGATGTGGTTTTAGGAAGTTACAGCTAGATGGTTGGCAACCGTCAGCCGATAGCATGCCTCGTATCCACATGCTTTGGACAGTTTCGGGAACACAGCACATTACACCTACAGTTATTTCAGAGTTTGAATGGACAACGTGTCAATTGTAGAGAGACCATTTAATTTTTACCTTTATAGTCCAAAAAGTGCATTCATAAAAAAAAACTAAAAAAAACTTGATATTACAGTCAGCAATGTGTTTAATGTAAAACTGCTAGAGCCTTTATGTAAACAGGCTCAGAAACTATAGAAACTATGTGTGTCGTTCATCCAATGAGTGACACTGACCTGGGATTAATAGAGTGCTGCAGGTATGACGTCACAACCCTGAAGTCTAATTTGCCGCTGGTTCCTTCGAGGTTTTCCTATGGTGTTTTTCGATTTATTTCGATAAAATAAAGCCTTTAAGCCCATATTTTCAAATTAAGTGTTAGAAAAAGTCTATTATTAATAAACATTCTAATTTAGTTACATTTTTAAGTTTATATTAAAAAATTTTCATTATATTAATGTTTTACAATTTGTATGATAGCTTTAAATTATAAAGCTGTAATGTAAGTCCATACAGGGCACAGTGTACAATGTATAGATGATACAGAGATTCAAACCATTTTGTTTTTGCAGGGTGAAGAGATTCTCTCACAAAGGTCACAGGCAGCTGATGAAGAGGAGGAAGAGTCATCTCAGTTGAGGAGTGAAGTGGAGGTATAATGTCTGGCTGACTTGCATTATCCTGTATGTGTTGTGTTATCATGTTTTGTCTTGTTATTTACAGAAGCAAATATACCGTACAACATGTCACCTGGAGGTCTATAATTGCCTTTAATAGCCTGTAATTTTGTGTTGTTTGATTTGGGAATTTCCTTGTGAGATCTTTTTTGAGACATTTTGTGATGTCTTTCATTTCTTGATGCTTAATTCAATCTGTTTTGACACAGGAGAGTGACTCTGAGGAGGGGAACAATGGACAGGAAGAAGTGGAGGAATCAGATGAATCAGACTGATATAAGCAAGAATTGCTGCACATGATTAGTACAACAGTACACTATAATTGCTTTATTATTCCTTCAAAATATTTTGGGGATTAATTATCTCTTATATTAAATAGCAAAGATAAATAAAAAGTACTTTGATTTAAGCTGTTGTGTAATGTTCTCTGAACACTAATCAAGTGGTTTTCTTGAGCAGCTCTCTAAGTGTGTTTGCATGTTTTAAGATGCTAATTTGTTTCTTTTTTATATTTCAAATGTTAATAATAAATTAATGTCAATTACCTTAATTTTGACCTCAGCAGTGTTTTTGTTTCATGTTTGTTCTTGTCCAACATGAAGATATTTAAATGTATGAGAGGAATATGGACAATTCCAATTAATACAATTTCAATAAACACCCTTAATAATAAACCTTAAATGGTATAAACAACAAAATGTGTCAGTTTACAGTTTTTAAGGCTGTTCATAGCCTTAAAAGAATCACTTGAGTCTTTTTAAAAATCGAACTGTTCGAAAGAACCGATTCGTGAGATTGACTCGTACTTTTTGGTTGGCTCGTTCCAAGCCATCCCTCTGACTCACAGTCACATGATGCAACCAGGAAGCAATGCGTTTAATGTTTCTGAGCATTGGATAAACAAACGCTCAGCTGTGTCAATACAAAACTAATAGACGGGTGTAAACATACTTCGCAGTGAAGCATCGATACTGTAACATCTGCAGAGCGGCTCGCATGCAAACAAACAGGAAAACTGAAGGATTGTTTTATCGAGTGCCATCACAGTAATAGAATTATTCGTACACATTGAGCGTTTCTGTGTTTGATTTTCTGACAGCCGGGCAAAAATGTCTGACTTTGTCATTTTACTGCTGATTCTTATTTTGGTCATCTGTCTCATCTCAACTCTGGTGGGCTTCGTTTTTTACACCGGACTTTTTTCTGAAGTCGTGATTCGGACTGGATCTCCTCCGGTGAAAAACATCACGATTGCATACAAGTTCAGAAAGGGATCGTACAAGGACAGCGGAGCTGCTTTTACTGAGAGCTGCAGTATCGGACCGAAGCTGTCTTCTGTCGGTGTTTTTTACGATGACCCCAGTCAGGTCTGTACCCACTTGATTCACTGATTCAGAGGCAACTTCACCTGCCGTTTGTTTTCAAAACATCATATCCACTTTAAAATGAATATGTGATTGTTTATGAAATGTTCTCAATACAAATAAATTATATATATATATAAAAAAAAATTTATTTGACCCCAACCAACGGAAAAAAAACGTCGATGACGTCACGTTATCGCTTACAGCCCTACAACCCCTACCTGTCATCAGATCAAAAACAACTCCTCTCTCTAAGTTGTTCCTTTAATGACGTTAAAGTAATGACGTAAAAAGGCGTTTCTTTTGTGACTTTTTGGAGTTGCTGACTTTGCTGCCTGTTTTATTGTTGTTTAATAATAAATAATGATACAAAAAACCCACCTGTCATTGTACAGGAATGGTATAAAATGTTACAGTAATAGCATGGTGAATTGATATACTGAATGATTCATATAATACTCCAAGGTTATTTAAAACTTACTATAGTATTACCATGGTGCATTTAATTATTTGAGTAATAGTGTTACATAATGTATTATTGTTAAATTTGCAAAACAGCAGTTTTAGAAAGGTGTTTGGCTTGGTTTGTTTCTTTATTAGGTCTTCATGGACTGAGTTTGGTCCAAAACTTAAAGCTTACTAAACATTTCTCTCTCTTGGTTTGACATACAGGCTCATGAGAATAAAGCCTCAAGTAGCTATGTTATTCTATTCATATTTTAAATGTATGATTCACATCAGTAAACATTCAAGGCTGACTCACTGCGTTTTCATCAGTCGGATTCATGGCCACAACGCAAAGCAAAATCTGCTTTAACAATAAACGTCTGGTCATTCCCTAACAATATGTCTTAAATCTATCATATAGTTTTCAATGTATCTAGAGAATAAATTATAACATGCTGTGCTGTCCATAGCTCTGAAGGTGAACATGGACCTTATGGTGGAACAAATTGGAGGATAAAGAGATTTAAGACACTCTTGATACACCTCATACTCTGAAAAGAGAATGGATTGAATTTGGCCTACTCAGCAGAAAGTGGAAGAACTACACCATGTAAAAAATGTCAATGTCAATCAGCATGTAGTATCCGAACAGGTCGTGCTAGTAGACTACCTGAATGGTGTCATTAATATTGCTGCACTGATCTAAGGCTGCACAGTCATCGCAGCATTTATGCAGTAATTGTACATCAGTATTATAAGGTTGGGCATTGGAAATTTAAGTTGAGTGCTGAGGTAACCGCTCTGTTTTATTTTGCGCAGCATGACAGTCAGTGCCAAATGGACTCACTGGCATGCAATAATGACTGGGAACGTCCCACTGCTCCCATATTTGTAATCATACCAATGTTCTACTTATTTGTTCTTCTTATAACTTGGACAAGGTGGAGTTATTGCATAATGTTACTTGCCGGTAGGAGTAGCATTAGCATTCACTCGATCATGTTCTGTTTTGGATGCATTTGTCTCTTTCCTGACCCAGCTGCATGAACCTCATTTATAAAATGCACATACGATCAGATTGTATCCAAAAATCAATGGATTTTATCCCAGACCAAAAGTGAGAAACAAATTTGGACTTATAAAGGCAGATACCAACTCTCAAATGAAGAGCATGCATTGAAACTTTTTGCCCTCATGTACCAATAATTAAACAAACCAAGATAATTTATGAAAAAGCAATCTCATTATGCATTATTCATTTATTTTGGATTAAAGTTTTTTAAAAAATCCTTTATGATAAATACTGAAATATTCCTTTAAAAAAAACTGAAATTGTCCATTTTGATTTCATGGTGACTTTAAGTTGCCTATCCAGTTTAGACCTTATTGGACAGACACTTGGATATTTGTCATGCATCTTAGAATAGAAAAAGGAAAATGTGAAACACATTTTCTTATGCTTTTGCATTAAACACAGGGCCAATTGAAACATATGGTGATGTGGCTGTGAGTAATGTGGGTGAAATGGGACACAAATTATGACGTGAATGCCAGGCTAGCAGGGTGGTGTTAGGCTAGACTGTATTAATGGCCATGGTATTTGCTGAAGTAAGTTTGGAATATATTATACCATGACCAGTATCAAGTAAAAAAACTGATGATTTTGTGACATTTACAAAAAAATAATCATTAAGTGCAATGCTTTTACCATCTGGTACTTCACCCTTTTGTGGTACTGCCATAATATTTAGGGGAAAAATGAGACATGACATGAAAATTATAAATTAAATGATATGCTACTTTTCCAGAGAGCTACTGTAGATTAAAGGGTTGCTTCACCCAAAATGAACATTTGTCATCATTTACTCGCCCTTATGTTGTTCTAATCTTAACCATGTTATTTTATTTCTTCCATGGAACACAAAAGGGAAAAATTCCAGAATGTCTGAGCTACAGTGCTACACTCTTCCATATAATCAAAGTGAATGGGGACCAGGGGATGACAAGCTACAAAAGGACAAAAAACAAACAAACATTATAATAAAAGTAGTCCATGCAACTCGTGCTCTGTATTCCAAGTCTTCTGAAGTGATAGCTTTGTGTGAGGAAAACAGACACTTAATCTAGCTTGACAGCCGATGTCACCATTCAATAGATGGAATAGAGCAGCTTGGACATCTCCTCTTGTGTTCCACTGAAGTCCAATGGCTTTCAAAAGATGTGAGGTTGAGAAAATGGAATTGTCATTTTTGAGAGTGAACTATCTAGATGTTTGCATAAACTGCCACGTCGGCTTAAGCTTGTCTCAGTGGAAACTGTCAGAGCAGGTCATGCCTTCTGGAAATCAGTACAGTATTTCCCTTGCCACTAGATGGTGGTACAGTGTAGAGAACGTAATTTGCAGAAAAAAATGGTCAAGATCATGCCTACATGTATGGAAGTCTAAAATTTGCAGGGCTATTACTTTTAGTATTCATTTCATGAGTACTGTGACGCCACATCATACCTGGACACTTAGACCTACATAAAAATGTATGAAATTATTTATTTAGATAATGTTTCTTATTTTTTCTTAGTTTTTTTTGTTCCCAGTTGTGCACTTTAGGATTTTTTTAATCTTATGTTATGTTGTAAAAGATGTTTTATTGCATTATTTTAGTGCCGTTTTGCGTTTGTGTGCATAACATTGCATGTGTACCGTCTATATATTACTAAATGATCAGAAAAGGGCGGATTTGCTGGTTTCGTTTTCTAAATTACACTTTAAAGGGGTCGTGAAATTGAGAATTCAAATGTTAATTTGGTGACTCTACATTAAAAACATACTGCACTTTAATATTTTTTTCCACCCTTCGGAACGCGCAGATTTGAAATCGGGTCAAAATAGCTTGACGCTTCAAACTACACCAGTAGTTGGCGACAAGTGACTGTTAAAAAATGTAGTTGTCATTGAATCATTCATTTAAGAGCCTAATTAAAATAACTAACTAGTAACTAAACAAGTTTTCATGAGTGAGTGATTAAATCATTAATTAAATATTTAATTATTTTTAAATAATTGTTTAAAATTGACATTTATGTTAAATGACATAAGTTTAAATACAATAAAAAATACATATTTTTAAATAGACTGCAGCAATTAACATTTTTCAGAATTACGTTATTTTATTTAGCTATTCAGAATCGTAGATTCATGATCTCAATTTAAACAAAATAAATATACAAAGTGAATCTCAATTTCCCCAGAATTGTGAAGCTTTATTATTGGATAAAGAAGTAGCGTAAGACCGTCAAACTCAGAAGTTGTTCTCTCAGTGGATGTAAAGAAACTGTTCTTCCATAACCTTCCTAAAGACCTGAGTATGATAAATGCATGGCTGAAGTTTAGTTTTTTTATGATGTGCCTGTGCGACTGAAAGACAATGTTTTTATTTGTTCTTCATATTTCACAAAAGTTTAATTATTCACAATATGCCTCCAAATGTGTTTTCAAAACATATTTTATTGAAAGATATGACAGTGCCTGCCAAGCAGTTTGTCCTTGGAGGCAACACAGGTAAGTACATTTCTATCATGACAACTCTCGAAGAGATTGGCATGATAATAGATATAAGTATGATGGATATGGCAATGCTAATGTATCTTGTCTTAGTGGAATAGATCTGCTGCTGCAGAGCCAGTGACTTGCTATTGCCAATACATTCATAGACATTGCTGTGAACAAGTAAGACATGCTGCACATAATAAACATGAAATAACTTATGTAGCAGATCTATAGACCATTTCACAAGATGTAAACAACACTGGTCCAGAAACACTTCCTGTTTCAGTTTGTAACTGTTTTCTTTATTTCACATGTAAAGAAAACATCTGAAAGATGTTTGTTTAAATTTTTGATTCAGTTTTAAATGTTCTGTTGGTTGTAATTTATCCCAGATTTTATGTAGTGTTAAAAAACTGAAACAGGAAGTGCTTCTGGACCAGTGTTGTTTACATCTTGTGAAATGGTCTATACAGGTGGAGCTGGGGAAGGTGGAGTGTTTCTGAAAACGCGCAACAGCAACACTATACCGTATTTAAATTAGCTGCAGTGCATTGGCCATGATGCAACAGCAACCAATCAGCTGCACTATGTAGATAATGATGTGATCGCTACCAAATTGTGTTGTCGAGCTATTAGCCAGCGCCATCTAGAGATTCATGCCAGAACATCCAGTGTAGACCCAGTTTTACAGTGTGTTTGTGAAAAACGTCAAACCAGCTTTTAACGCTAATTAAGACACCAAGTGAATCATTTTTGGAGTGTTGCTTGAAAAATCAGTATATGTCCTGTTGTTTAAATGTTGTCTGCCTCGGGTAACACAGTCTCATCCCAAATCGTCATATAACTGACGTTTTGGGACGTATTTTGACCATACGTCAATATCCGCCTTTTTAGGGCCCCCTTAAACGTCGGTAGATGGCGATCCCGGGCCGTCATACAACTGACGCTTTACCTTTAACGTCAGTTAGGTGACGGGTTAGGTTTAGGGTTAAGTTTAGGTATGGGGTAGAGT